CATTTTTCTTCTATAGTTATCTGAGCATTTCCACCCTTCTGTGGCCCTTTTTGCAAAGACTATCCTTGAGGTGAGTCTAGAACACTCTTAAGAATATGTAAGTATTGTGGTTTTTGATCATCAGTAGTTGATGGCACAGTTTTCCGACATGTAGAAGCTGTATTTGCTGCCGTTGTTGAGGACCAGTGACCTGTCTCATACAGAGAACAAATAATCCTTCTCCAGAATGATGGAAATACGGCACATCAGCACACAGCAGCTGCTTATTAGAGCCGGCTCTTTGGGGGAAGGTGGCGCTCGTCTCCACTCCTGGGATTACTTTTTCCCAGAATGGTTACATAGTCTCCGTATAAATACTGCCTATGAAATTACCAGTGCATAATAAAGCGTGCGTGTTTGTGTGTTTAGTTTGTTAGCGTGGTACACTTGAGAAGACTATTTGAAGGGTGTTCATTGTTCACGTGTGCCTCAGATGCAGTGTAACAGCAGCTTATGTTTTTATGAAATCCATAAATCCTCCACCATTTTCCCACCTTTCAGGGCAATTTTATTCAGTATTCAGGCGACCCGCTGCAGGATTTCACACTCATGAGATTCTTGGATAGATTTGTTTACCGAAATCCAAAGCTCCACAAAGGCAAAGGTATGTGGCTTCCAGTTAGTAACTTTGGTTTCCGTTGCTGGGGTTTCGTGAGTGAATGAACAGACAACTGCATTAGACTCTCATGATTTACCTTTCAGAAAACACCGACAGTGTTGTGATGCAGCCCAAGAGGAAACACTGTATAACGGATGTCCGTAATCTCGCTGGTAAGCATGGAGTCTGCGCAGTTGAAACCAAAGGATAGCAAAAGACAGTGCTGCACAAATTATATTCTTGACCTATTCTATCCTAATAAAAAGAAGACCCTGTCTCAAAAACAAAACAAGAAGTGGGGTTAGGGTGGCAACTTCAGAAGAACTCTGAGGGCTCAGTGGTGAGCTCAGTGGTTAAGAGCACGCGCTGCGCTGGGAAAGGAAGGACCCAGGTTGGTCCTCAGCACCCACACTAGGTGTCTCACAACCACCTGGGACACCTGTGGCTGCTGCAGTCACCTGCAATCACATGCCCGTGCCCATACATCCAAATAAAAGTAAATCTCTTAAAATAGTTTTTCTTTCTCTTGAAACATGTGTCTTGAGTGCAGTTGGAGAACAGTGAGAGAACCTGTTCCTCCACGGTGCCTGTGTCCTGCCTGTTCTCTACAGACAGCCCAGAGTCTGGGGGTGGAGACTCGTCCACACACGCCTCTGCCCTGCTGGACCCCTCTCCTCCACTGTCTTGTTTAAGATTTCAGAACTGCCAGTGCGTTAGATAGAGTGTGAGCGCTTGAGTGGCACAGGGGAATGGTCATAATAAAATGCTCCATTTCTGCAGTGAATAGTAAAGAGTTCCTTGCGAAAGAAGAAAGCCAGATCCCAGTGGATGAAGTTTTTTTCTACAGGTAAGATACTTAATACAGTATCCTTGGGGGGCTATTTAAATGTTTATATTTGATACAGCGCTTTATTGATATTGAACTGTTTTGAAAAGATCAGGGCATTTGTCCATTTCTTTTTTGAAGGAAATTTAAATTATTAACTCTGCTGCTCCTCGAAATTTTAGTGAAATTGGTCAGCTTGAGGATTTTAATAATGTAGTATGTAAATTTTAGTTTCTGAATCTGACTTTGTGGAACTTTAGGCTTTTGTTTGGAAACTGTATGTTGTCCAAAGTGGCCTCCAACTTGGGATCCTCCTGCCTCCACCTCCCATGTGCTACCACACCTGAATTCTTTTTCTGATTAGGTAGTGATTCTTTCCGTCTTTATTTGTGTTGGTTTCCTATAGTAGTAACTGGAATAATTTGTCTAGGCTGTGACCCCTCAAGCAGAGCCAGAGAAGGTCATTGTGAAGCTGTAGTGCTCGAAAATTACTACTAATGCTATTAGTGCCTCGTTGACTACTTAATTCAATTTAATTTAAATTGCTTTAAAAAGAACTTATTGTGAATAATTTTGTGGGTTCATGCCGTCTGGAAAGTGGGAAGTTTCACTGTGACTTTGGGTGAACTGGTAAGTTGTTATGATCTGAGGCCATATAGAACCACTATGTTCTCATCCTTAAATAATTAGTGATGAGGTTGGACCAGCCTTTTCCTGTGCAATTCTTTTATTATTTGTGGGTTGTGAGGGATCAAATTCAGGGCCTTGTTCATGCTAGGCAACATTCTGCAAACACCTTTAGCCCTCGCTGCCACATTAAGATGAGTTTGAAGAATGAACTTATAATTATGCAGATATGTAATGTGCATTTTACTTTAGGTATTATAAGAAAGTTGCTGTTGTTAAAGAGAAACAGAAACGCAATGCAGGTGAAGATAGTATAGAAGATGTTGATGATGAAGAATTTGAAAATATGATTGGTAATTTGTTTTTCTTGACTCAATTTGTAAAATTATTAATAGAATGTAGAACATTAGTGGTAAAAGTGGACTTCGTTTTTAGAAATCACTGCTCTGCAGATTATAGTGGAAGATTGAGAAATAACATGTAGTAACTTGCTCATATCTGTTCTAGAAGAATTCATTATTATGCTTTGAACAATGTGGGAGAAAATTCTATTTGCAAGAGTGTTTCATTCCTAAGACCAAGTCTCTGATGAGGCAGAGACTGTTTATTGCTCATAATCTCCTCGTACTTCTGTCAGTGGCAGTGTTCTGCCTTTTGATGGTTTCCGTCTTCACTATCCATAGAGCTTGGGCCTCTTTAACTGAATGTCATCAGATGAACAGTACATGAAATGGAAGGGCTTAGTTTGATGTCACTGTCACAGCCTACACTTAGTAAACAATAAAGCTTTTATTGTTTTCGAGATTTCATTGAGCTCATAGGTCTGTATAAGTCACACCAGCAGTAGTCCTAATGACATCATTCTGCTGTGGTGAAATCCTGATTCTGCGTTACAGTTGTCCGGGTATAATGTGTATCGCTCTTGTCCTCTGCTATCTCTTACAATTTTGTATCATTCTCGGGCAGACACACTGGAAGATGATAACTGCTTCACGCCTGGGAAGGATGATATTGACTTTGCCAGGTAAAACTCAACCTTCTCTTTCCTGTTTTCCCGGTATTTCCCAAATTATTGTTCATCAGAACAGGAGACCAGAGAAATCATGTGATCTTAGTCTCCTGAACACACTTTAGAAAACACTGCCTTCCTTTACAAGTTTTGAAGTTTGTGTGTTTGTTTCCAGCAATATGAAGAAAACAAAAGGAGCTAAGGAGAACTTGGAAGATTCAGAGAGTAGTGACGATGAGCTTGGGGACCTGGATGATGACGAAGTTTCTCTAGGAAGTATGAATGATGAAGACTTTGAAATTGATGAAGATGGAGGAACATTCATGGATGTGTCAGATGACGAAAATGAAGATGTTCCAGGTACACATTTAAAATAAATAACCGCCAGGCATGGTGGCGCACGCCTTTAATCCCAGCATGTGGGAGGTGGAGGCAGGCGGATCTCTTTGAGTTCGAGGCCAGCCTGGTCTACAGAGAGAGATCCAGGACAGCCAGGACTACACAGAGAAACCCTGTCTCAAAAAACCAAAAATAAGTAAAATAAAAATAAACCACAAAGTACATAGCTTTCTTGGTAATTCCTAGACTAGTTTTTAAATACAGGTTTCTATATCTAAAGTAAAACACACGTCAGTGTTGGGTTTTAATTGTAATCAACAGCGTTTCTCTAAGTTTCATTTGAGCCGCTCGTTAACATTAGTAGAAGGGCCGGTGCTGTGGACCGGTAGTAGAGTGCTTCCTAGAGTGGGTGGGGTCCTGTTTGGAGCCTCAGCACTACCAGAGAAGAAGAGAGGGTGATGAGCTGTTTACCCAGGAAGTCACTAGTCATAGTCCTCCAGCACAGGGAAGAGAATGTAAACTGCAGGTGACGCGGGAGCCACCACGGTTGTCTGCGCTGTCTCCTGCCCCTCGTCCTTTCACGTACCTCTAGTTACACCTGCTTTGCATCTTGCTTCTTCTGGCGCTCAGCAGCAGGTGCTTCTTATTTACACAGGTGTTGAAGTATTTGGTCTTGTTAATGGTCATTGAGTAAATGACGTTCTTGCAAACTAAACCAGGGACTCTCAGAGACTGGAGCGTCCTGTACCCTCCAGGCCCATTCTGTTGGGATTGGAGGACTATGAACCCACATGGAACAGACACACCAGCCTTACTGTTGCACTAGACTAGAGCATACACTGAATTGGTGTTTTCCAGGCTTGTTTTTAAAATGACTCAACAGTAAACTTTTTTTGGATAACAGAATTTGATGAAGTCAGCTCCAAAGCCAGTACTAAGAAAAGCAAGAGAAAGGGTGAAGACAGTTTTGACTTTGCTGGGTCGTTTCAAGGTAAGAAAATGCATTTCATCTCTTCAGACCATAGCAGCTGCCATATAAGAAGTATTATTGGTCACTATTTTGGGAAATACATGTTTAAAAGTTGGTTTGATACCATTTAGAAGTTTTTTGTTTTTTTTTTCTCAAAGTATCAGTCTTCAGGTACCTTCTGTTTGAGACAAGGGTCTCTCATAGGCTTGGAATTTTATCACGTAGGCCAGGCTAACTGCTCCATGAGATCCTAGGCCCCCACCTGTCTCTCTTCCTGTCTCACCATCACTGAGATTACAGCCACTGCACTAGGTTTTTACAAGGGTTCTGGAGATCTGGACCCTGACTCACACTTGTAAGGCTAGTGTGCCGATTAAACCATCTAAACCCCAGCTAAGAAAGGTAGATAATGGGGTTTTTTAACGTGAAAAGATATTTCTCACATGCATCCTTAGTTTTGTCCAAGTTCCTTCCTCTCACATTTACGGGTCTCTAGATGATCTTTTCAGTCATGTTTATAGAGTCCAATTACATGTGAACTCGTAACCATTTTACCACTTTCTTCAAATATTAATAGATTGAAAACTATAGGTGAGTTTTTAATAGACATTTTATTTTCACAAATATTAAACATTAAGTTTATTGATAACACAAACATACTTCAGTCAGCTTTTTCAAGCCCAAAGAATAAGACCTGAATTACAATTTATATTTTGCTTCACATACTACAAACTCCATCCATGTTGATGTGGAATTTTAATCCTGATTGATACTGTTGGTTTCTTGTGTAGATAAATTCTGAACAGCAACAAAATCTGAAAAATAGGGATGCACTTTGAATAACCTAGACACATTTTTTTTTCTTTTTTTAAGGACCAAAGAAAAAAAAGAAAAGTTTCGATGACTCCAGCCTGTTTGTCTCTGCTGAGGAGGTAACACTAAGCTAATCCACTGTCTTAAGAGAGCAGCTGTTTACATTCTTGTCAAGTTTTCTGATAAACTTCCTCACCCTTCCTTGCTTTTGTTTTTTCTTTTAAGTTTGGCCATCTGTTGGATGAAAACATGGGATCCAAGTTTGATAATACCGGCATGAACGCCATGGCTAACAGAGATAATGCAAGTAAGTAAGCTGCTTTTTCCTGTCGTGAGGTCTTGTGTAGCCCAGGCTTCCTTAAACTTCCTATGTAGCCCAGGCTGGCCTTGAGGTCTTGATCTTCCGCCTCCCAAGCAGAAGGATTACAAATGTGTGCTACCCGGTTGTCTTAAATTTGTCAGTCAAGTTTTTTAAATAACATTTCCCTGTAGATGTCCTTAAATGGCAGAAAACTTGCTTGTCACATAGGAAGACGTTTAACCACACAAACAAACTACAAACTCAAACGGGTTTTTTTCTTGAAGAGTTGGTCTGTTTTATTCTGACTTGTCTAAAGGTTTGCTCTTATATGATTGAAGATCTTTTTCATCATTTCTAATGTTCCTAGTTTCTGTTCTTACATTTGTAAAATACTCAGAAAATATAGGAGAGAACGCACAGTGGGTTTTCACGGTGGGTGGGAAACCACAGGCCATGCGCCCCCAAGTTGAGTTGCACTCAGGACTTTCTGTGGGAGGCCAGTCTACAGTGGCATGGACTCATCTTTCTTTTCCCCTTAAAGGTTTCAAACAGCTGAAGTGGGAAGCTGAGCGTGATGATTGGCTGCACAACAGAGACGTGAAAAGTATCATCAAGAAGAAGAAAAATTTCAAGAAGAAGATGAAAATCCCTCAAAAACCCAGACGGCAAAGGAAATGAGAGCTTCCGAGTGAATTAAGATTCTACTCACCCTTAGTTTTTGCTCTCCAACCACTTCTCTTGATCGCCCTCTCTAACTCCATATATTCCAGACTGTTCAATGCATTTGTAGTAAACTATAGAAACAAAATGCTGTCATTTATGAAATCGTGCAGAGGTTGAACTTACATCGAAACATTCCTTCCGTACTGCTACGTGAGAAAAAGGACAGCAGGCCCCATGTTCACGTGCGAGCTCCTAACACTGAGGAGCTGACCACTGATGTTCGGGACCTGGGGGGCTAGGCTAGGCAGGTGTGGTGTCGTCTTGTTCAACAGCTAACTGTGGGGAGGTAGACATTAGCTCTTTCCACGGAGAAACAGTGTGCCTGAGGAAAGTCTGTTCTAGTGGTCACCTAAGCCATGGTGTGTCCATCACCGCCTTCGCTCTCATTCCAGAGTCTATAGTCTTAACCACTGAAAGAATTGAGGCTCCTGCGTGGGGGTGAGGGGGGTGCGTAACTCAGTGGTAGATCATCTGTAAAGCCTAGGGTTTGATCAACGGAAGAATTAAACCAAGAGCTAACTGTTCTCATCTAAGTAACTAGGTGAGTCCTCGGTGTGTGCTCTCAAACCGATAACAAAGTCATTGAGTCCAAAATTGTAAAAGTACCACAAAGTTTACAGAATATTTTGCACTTGAATTTTTACTTGAAGAAAAACATACCTTCCAAAGCGAAGGGAAATGTCTTGCTCATTGTTTGCCTGAAATCTGGTATTAAAAAAAAAAATTGTATTAATATATTAAGCCACAATTTACATTAGTGCTATTAGAATTTTGGATTAAGATCCCTTTGCTAATCCAAGAACTAAATCTTACAGGATAGGATGTGAATTACATTAATCTTAAAATACAGCCTTTAAAGATTATGGACATGCAGTAGCACCCTGGAACAGTGTCCTAATGAAGTACCCTGAGGAAGACAAGTGACCAGCTTTAAAGAGAAGTCACCGCCCCAGGGCTGCTCCCTGCTTCAGTTGGAGAAGGAAGTCACAGATAGGAATTACTAATCTTAAAAACTGAGGGCTGTGATGTAATAAAATTTAACCAACCATTGCACTGTATTCAGCAACAGCAGGGGTAATGATCTCAGTGCCTGGTGCTAATGCTGAGAACGCTGTGGCCTGAGGTGGGGCTGAGCTCACGGTGGTGTTAGCTCTTCCCAGGAATACCAAACAGAAGTATAATGCAGGCCGAGCTGCTCCATCAGTTCGATTCTGCAAGGCCGTTCAGTTCTGAGCCAGAAGAGGAACACTTGCTCTACTCCCCCAGGAAAGCCCAGGCTCCCAGTCTGCAAGTCAGGTGTGAGCCACCCACTCCACAATAACAACCACCTTCCTCTCCCCCACCCCACCCATAAAAAGGTCTAATAGCTTCAATCTGAAGAAACATTTTGCCCAGGAATGCAATTAGCATTTAGTACAAACCCAACTGGGGAAAAAAAAAAAAAAAAAAAAAAAAAAAAAAACGTTAACTGCTGAACTGTGTTTACCTTGGCTGGAGTTCATCTTTCTAAACAAAACATAAGCTCCAAAAACCCCCACAAGTTCAGCTGCCAGAACGCCTTTGAAGATCTTCCTAGCCAGCGGTTCCATGGTCCGAGCCATCCTAAAATTAACAACACGCATGAGCTGTCGGAACTTCCATGGCCACATCGCTAAAGGCCTCCATTCCCAGTTCAGTGCTTTTAGTATGAACCCCAAAAGTTACCAGTATTTGCTTTAGACGTTCCTACATACAGGCTCCAATCTCCGTGCCTTCGGAGTGTGATAAAACAAGGACCCGTGACAGGATAAAGCGTAGAAATTCTGAGGAGACTTAACACCTTTTTGCAAAGCAAAAATGGAGGAACTAAGGCTTTTTAGTGTCTGATACAGAATGGGGAAGCCGGTTAGACGAACTTCTTAGCTGACCTAGGAATTAAAAGACGACCTAATTATAGGAACCGCATTGAAGGCCCTTTTGGAAACTGCCCTACAAGAGGAAGGATATTTTCTAAGTGGTGCCACAGTTCATGCCCTTCGTAGATGAATGTGAAACCAGACAATCTGGTCTCTTCTGAGTATTGGAACACTTCAACTGCACTTTTTTTTTTTTTTTTTCTTTTTTTGGTTTTTCGAGGCAGGGTTTCTCTCTGTAGCTTTGTGCCTTTCCTGGAACTCGATTTGGAGACCAGGCTGGCCTCAAACTCACAAAGATCCGCCTGCCT